TTATATGTTTGTAAGTTTATATGTGCATATATATGTGTGTGAATAATTGTCTATGTATTTAAGGGTGAATATCTATATAAGTATTATTAAACGATTATTATTTATTAATAATCTGTTTTGGCGGTTCTCGAAGACAAGGTCTTTTGAACTTTTTCGAGCATCCGCGCTCTTATTAAAAAGTTAACAAAATTTGTAATCTTATTACATTTATTTTATTAAATCTTTTATTGTTAAACTTTTTTTTGAATAAATAAAAAAAACAAAAAACAACGACAACATTAAATAAATAAATAATAAGAAAAACTAAAGTTAGGCGAAAGATATTGTGTTTTGTTAAAACACCTCCTTTAAAGATTAGTGTAACTTCCTACCAAACATTGTTTTAGCAGATTTGCTGTCGACCTATATAGAAATTTTTGAGCGGTTCATTGGAGTTTTGCTCATCGGTTGTTTAGTGGACCGAAATTTTAAAACGAGTTTCTCCTAAATAAGATTTACTACAAGTTAGTATATAAACACCTGGTTGCTGAAGCATGGCAAATTGGATTTAGTTTTACTAATTAATACTTTTTTTTAATTTATAACTATATTAAATACAACTCTGTAAATAAAGCTCCGATTTGTTTTCTAAGTTTCATTTTTATCAATTATCGGCTGAATAAACTTTACCAGGTATTTTATTTCATTATAACTTAGAGTTGTTGCGGTTAAAATAATTCTTAACCAAAATAAAACTCATCGCATTTGCCTGGTTTGTTTGCTTTTATTGTGCCGTACATGCATGGAGATAATGGTCAACTTGAATAAAGATAGTCTTTACTTTACCAAACTGAGAGAACTTTATAAAAATCACTTTTTTATAAAGTTCTCTGAGTATGGTCTGAAATATCCGGGTAACTTTTAGTGTTGTATGTTTTTTTTTAGTAGTTACTTTTTGATGGTTTTGCTTTTTTAGCACACAATATATATCAATTTGAATTTTTGTGGAATCTGTTTCATTGTTATTATAGTTTATTTTCAAAAAAACAAATTCAGTTTTTGTTACAATATCTAGTTAGAAAAATTTATTATTCACTGTAAAAAATTTTGGCTTTTGGATATAACTAGATTGAAAAATTAGCTTTTGGGTCTTTAAATTTATTTAGTTATGATCTTTTAAATTACACGGTTAGCACAGATTCTGATAGTACCAACCTATATGACCCAAGAACGCCACTTATGGGGTGATACCGTACATATCAAGTTACCTTGTATTGCAATTTTTGAAATCTCTTAATTTTGACCCCGGAAAATAATCAAATTTGAATGTTCAAATTAAGTGAAATTCGACTTTATATTACGACTATAAAAACACCTAGAGAAGAACAAGAACAACAATATATAATTTGATAACAATTAGTGCAAACGTAGCATATGACTACACTAAACTTTGAATAAAATTTCAGTTGGATTGATTTACTGGTTAGGGATTTATAACAGTTTTAGTTTATACTTTGTTAGTTTATTGTCGCTTACACCTCAAAACTTTTCCAATTACTTTTTCGATCACAATTATCAAAATAAAAGTTACATGAGTGTTCTATTAAACAATTTTTATTATAATTGTTTTATTAATAAATGTACCATTTACATTCTATTGACAAAAGTTTTTATTTCCTATTTAAAGAGTGGTTTGAATTGGCTTATGCATAACGTAAATATCTCAATATTTCTTAAAGTATAAACTATGCCAAAATGCAAAAAAAGTGCTAAAAAACATAAAAAAACGTTTCTTTTAAAAGAATTTTAATTGGTCCTTGAAACCTAGGGCCAATGCTATAAACAAAAAAACGAAGTTTTTACCGTAAAACTCAAAATTTTTTGCGCACCATCCGGAGGTTTTGCGTAAACAGCAAAAAAAAAAAAAAAGAAAGAACAATCAATTGTTATGAATATTATTATAAAAATATATACATATTGTGAAAACATAGCTGTGAATAAATGAAAAATAAATTTTCATTAGAGCTTTTGCGATTAAAAATGGTTTTATTTTATAAAGTACGGAAATATTATAAGAGATTTTACTGTCAATAGATTGGATGTGAAACTTCCATGACAAGTTTTCATCAAGAATTACGCCTTAAAAGTTAACAGTAGATTCCCTTTTTACATCTGTTTTATTGAATAAAAGATTTGGCAGTTTAAGTGGAATATTATCAACTTTGTTTGGTTTGTGGAACAGGATGAATTTAGTTTAACTTACATTTAGTGAAAGGCGGTTACTTATAAACCATTCATTTACTTTAGATAATTTTTCATTAAAAATTTTAAAAAGAACTTTTATATCTCTGTGAATTTTTATATCTCTGTGTGAATAAAACAGATTGGATTTGTCAGCAAACAATATAAGTGTTACGCTACGGAGGTAATAAGAAGGACCCTCATGCTTTAGTATACTGACGGTGTGGGCCCAGAATAAGACAAAAGATTTCCCCTCATTTCATCAAAAGGAAAGAGATTACCTCTAACTCCTCCCACTTAACCAAAAGTTAAGTGGGAGGAGTAAGAGTGTGCAGGGAAAAGTACATAACTTTATCTAGAAATAGAAAATGTAGTTTAATACGTTTATTTTTATTGATTTTTTTTTTTTTTTTTGGTTGTTTGTTGTAAAAAAGAAATATGTAAAAAATACATTTCTTTATATATATTAACTTGTTTATAAAAAAACTTTAGTGAAAAGATAAACATTCTATATCTATACTAAACACAATCAAAATTTTATTCGGCAGAACATGTAAAATAATATAGCAGAACATGTAAAATAATAAGTAAAATAAAATTTTAATATTTTGCATGTTCAGGTGATTTGCTTCTGTGACAGTGATTATAATTCTCCATGTCAAAATAACATTTTATTGTCAGTTAAAATTTTGTTAATACAGTTAACAATTTTCATAATAATCATTGAATTAGGAGGTATCTAATAAGTATTTACAAAAAATTCGTAGGAATGGCACTTAAAAATCAATTTTTCACTGTGTATATTCTTTATTTACGTAGACTTATCTGGTTCATGAAAACAGTAATGTTTTTAAATTAAAAGCGTAGTATTTTTTCCAAAAATAAACATTGTATTACATTCTTTTTTTATAATTTTTTTGTTTGTTTGTTTTAATTATTTTACCTTTGTTATCTCATGATGGTAGAGTTCTTTTTCACGCTTAAGTGCTAATAATATGTATTACAAACATTTTAAATTTTTTTATTTCTTTAGTTCTGTTTTGGTGCTCTTCCAACTATCATAAGTTTACTTTCTCTACTGATAAAATATGGTTTCAACTTAGTAAACTTTTATTAAAATTTACTATATTGATCATTAGCTTATACTTTAAAAAGAAATGAGTTTGTCGCAATTAAGCTAAAAATTATTTTATTTTCTGATCAAATTACAAAATTTGTTTACACTGAAAAGTCTGTGTTTTTGTTCTTTTGTGAAATAGCTAAATATCTTTGCAATAAAAGTCTACTGCAATTGTCTTTGCAATAAAAGTCTACTGCAATTGTCTTGCAATAAAAGATTATGATTGATTTTAAAAATGCTCTAGAAAAAACATCAACAATAGGCAAATTGGTCTGTAGTATGTTTTTACTTTTTTTAATATATAACTTTTTTATATATATCTTATAATGCTTTTTCAGATAATTGCAGAACAAATAGAGGACCCAAATGTGGCACATAAGGTGTGATCTCAAATTTAGAGCAACCCTACCTTTTTTTTTCAAGGAAGTGTGGATCCCGTAAAGAATAAAATATGAGGGGAGGGGGCGGTGAGAAACTAATACACCATATCTTTTTTCAATTATCTTATGTAATTTCTCCCACTTGCGGATTTATTTGAAAAAAGAACCGGTTGTCGATAATCTAGCAATTAAATTTAACTAAACATTTGATCTAAAATAATTATATCGTTTCCGTCAATTTTAGTATTTAAAAGTTTAAGAATATGGAAATTAGCAATTTGGGTTAAAAAAAATTCCCCCATATTTATGCCATCATAGTTTTTCATTCAACTAGCGTCCTCCCAAACTGAAAGAAGTGGTAAATTCTGGATAAAGACTGAGCTGAGACTTTCATCATTTGAGCGACCGTGGTTGCAAAATGAAATAAAATTTCCGAAAGACTACTCAATGGGAAGTGAAATGGACTCAGAAATTGATAAGAATGTTGGAAATCACCTGGTATTGGTTGGGCCGATGCTAGATTGCTATTTAAAAGAAATAGGAATTGCAATGCTCTCCAAACTCACCAGAAGTCATTTAACAGGTCTTGTTTCATGAAATAAATTATACATTCCATGGCAAATAATGAGGTTTATGGCAGCTATTTTTGAGAGCTATGGAGGAAGCATAGAGTTACTAACACCAAGAAATGACACGAAAAACCTTTTTTTTAATAGAAAAACAAGATACAGCAGTTCAACTGTTTAATCCATCAAGATTTAATGGAATAAATTACCTTAAAAAAAGAAATTATTCTAAAATAAAAGATCATGGTATATAAAAAACAAAATTATCTTATGTTGAAGAATCAAATGTTGTTGTCAGAATAAATACCCCAATACGTATGAAATACTTTCATAATATAAATCACCTCAAAGTTTCCTATTATATACAAAGATATACAAAGATGCTGATTACTTCTGTTCTTACTTTCTGAAATAAAGAGGAAAATAACTTCAAAAAAAACATAACGCAAGCTGAAATTCAGTTCGAGAAATAAATTTACTATAAAAGTTTTACATAAGTTCACATATTCATATATATGTGAACTTGTTTAAAACTTCCATAGAAATAAATAAGTTCATATGTCAATATTAATAATTTTTGAATTTTATAAAACATCAACTAACCAATATGAATAAAATATAGTAAATTTTTTATTTAAAAAACATTATTAACTTAAAAAAAACTCTTGCATATGATTTATATTTACAACAAACCCTCTAGACGTCTTATCAAATCTTTTTTTGAACCAATAACACTCTTTTTATGAGCTTTCAGCTCATTTCTAAGCTGGTAAATAGTTAATGCTTGAGGAATAAGTTGAGTAATAACTTGATTGCATTCTTTTTTTGCTGTGTGTTTATTCAACGAACATATATGAATCTTTTGCTACATATTTTGCATTTAACAGGCTTTATTATGAATAAAATATCTTCCGTCAAATATTTCTTCTCGACGCAATCTAAACTTGAAACAGACTCGATGCAAACTTGACATAAAAGCTCAGATTGTAGTGAACGTGAACAGTTGCAACATTCTTTGTCTGTAACAGGTTTACGAGGTCGAAAATGAGATTGATACATGGATGGTATTGAAAAATGAAAAGGCAAGTACAAATTTCGTACATAGCTAGACCGCATCAGTTGATACCATTTACCTCTTTCGTCTTGTTTTGTAAATCTGTTGCTACAAGTTTTTAAATCTTGTTTAATGGATGAATGTTTGGATTCTTTTCCTTGCATAGAAAGAATCCCATAACCAACTCCATAACCCTTAAAAATTTCTTCCGCATGAAATGGAACAACATAAACAATAGTCCAATCTGTACTGTTGCAGTTTGAAGGGAAAAAAAGCGCAAATAATAAAAAATATCTTTGACAGGCAGCAGTAACACTTTCAACATAATTTTCATCAACAACATGTTAATTATACTTCCAACATCTCGAAGTGCAGTAAACATCTGCGCCAGACTAGTCGTATAGCTTTTTCCTGTTCTGATTCTTTATTATGTTTCAAAACGTCAACTAAGCGATAACCATATTGGGCAATCGATATTGCTTGTGCACCAATAATCCTGACAGATAGAGTCTTCAATCTTTGAAATTAATAAATATTACAATATGATATTTTGATACAAAAATTATAATAAAAAAACCAATATGCAAAATTACTTATAATATTTTTAAATTTGTTTACTATAAATATAACTTACCGATTATCTTCTACAAGGTTCTTCATACATTTTACCAATGAAACTTAAGCCAATGCCAAAAATAGAATCAGAAGAATGCTTTGCTGGTGCTTTTAGGATTTTACAAAACTCAACAAATCTGTTTCGTCTTGTTGCTTCAAAATATAATACATTTAGGCAATGTGTCCAATTGTTTATTTCTAAATGTAGGGGGTCTGGTTTTATTCTGTCTGAAAATATACCAATTCTTGATTCACCTAATTGACGCAATTCATCCTCAGCCATAAAATCCAGAGACTTTAGATGTTTGGCATTTTCTGACAACTCATTTGAAAAACCATTTGAAACTGTTGTAACATGGTAAGATCATTTTTTCAACAAGTGTTATCAGAAATCTTCCATTTCTTGTCAGAATTTGAATACCCAATTGATCCGTCTATAAAAGTAAGTTCACTTTTGTGAACATTGCAGAAAGGGGATTTTTTCTTCTTTTGACTCAGGTGCGCTATCATCAGAAAACTCAACAACAAAATGATTTATGTCCCTATTAAACCACCTAAGTTTATCTTTCGTTTTTTTTACTTTCAAATTTAGATCAGCAATCATTGTGACTAATGCTGTCACTGTACGCGAAATACCTCCTTTTATTGACTTTGAGCAGTTTTGCGACACAAATTCAGTAGCTGAAAAGACTGAGTTAGAGCTTTATCTTGAGGAAAAGCGTTTCAAATGTGAACCGTCAATCCACTTTACTTTTGATGTACTAGAATGTTGGAAGGTGCATAGCATTAATAAACCAATTCTCTCAATATTGGCGCGAGAAATACTTACAATTCCATCAACATCAGTTGCTTCAGAATCTGCATTTAGCGCAGGAGGTCGAGTGCTTGATTCATTTAGAAGTTCATTATCACCTGAAACAGTGGAAGCTTTGGTTTTTTGTGCAAGTTGGTTGAAAGATGATAGTCAAGAGAAAAAGGTAATGTTATTCTCATTGTCATTTTTTGATATCTTTTTTAATTTAAGTTTTAATATCAACTAATTTTGTAGGTTGATCTTGAATGTTGAAATTTGAATGTTGTTATTCCAACGGTTTTTTAATTCTACTATATGAAAAGGTAAACAATTAATTAGGTTTTAATTATGTTTTTAATGTAGCATAATATCTCCTTTTAAACTCTAATTATTTTTTATTTTTAATTATCTAGATTCATTTTCATGCAAGTTTGTTGTAAAATTTCCGATTTTCAGCTCATTTTTGAGGTTCTACTTCAAGAGAATTAGAGGAAGGCTTTTTATTTTGTTTCATCCAATGCAATGAGAGCAAGACTTATATTTGTGAAAATGTAATTTGAACTATTAGAGTGCAGTGTTTAATAGGAATTATTATGTTTGTGAGAGTTTATATTATGTTTGAACTTTGAACATTAAATTTGAGCATTGAACTATTAGATTTAGCTTTTATTTTGAACTATTAGATTTGTGGGATCTTATTTCATTATGTTGTTTATTTGCATGTTTAATAGACAGTAAGATTGTTTATGTTGTTTGTTGATTTGGACTTGCATTATTTACAGACAAGCCTTCAACGAACAATTTTTTTTTACTAAACGAGATTTAAACTAACAGGTTACAATAATTATTTCGAATTTTAAACCAGTCGAGCTTGAGCAACATGTAAAACGAGCCGAGCCAAAACAATACTCATCCTTAACGAGCCGAGCTCGAACAAAGAATCTCATGTTTGAAACGAGCATGAGCCGAGCCTGAACACTCTTAATATGTAAACGAGCCGAGCTGAGCCCTGGCAAGCTTGGCTCGTTCGGCTCGATTTACAGGCCTAAGTATAACTATAAATTTGTATTCGTTAAGTATAACTCTGATTTACAAATTTTATGGAAAGTTTATTTAAAACAACAATTCTCTAATATATTCATTACAAAACCGCTCAAACATTTTTTTTTTATTATTTTTTTTTTACAAAATTATAAACATTTACAGATTTTTATAATATTATTACCTAGGTTTTTTTTTTTATTTTATATATTTACACTTTTTGTTTTATATATATTTATTTTTATCGCTCAAGCATACTTACAACAGTTATAAATTGAAAATTATCAAAACGGTAAACCACATGATATCATGGAATATTCTAGAGTTTACAATTCATTTCGATAGAATTATTTTAATTGGTTAAAGTTTAAAATTCCAAATGAGGCAAGATCTTGAGTTTTGTATTTATGGCCCATATGACAGCCACATCAAATTTAGCACGTATTTATTTATGGATTATGCCACATTAAGTGAAATAGTTATGTGTACCGCATTATGTGTTCCACAAGTGGGCCAAACTTATCTTCATTAAATACGTCATTCATTAACTGTAATATATTTTTAAACTTTTAACCTACACGTTTACACCATTACCGCATGTGGGCCACATATAGGGTTCTCGCCGGGATACTATTACTTGTGGTTCTTAACAAAACATATCATTTTTGTTTAGTACTAAACGTAAAGGATGCTAATATAACTATAGTTGTAATGATATCATTAATGTTTTTTTTTCCTTGTTTAACAATAGTTATTAATAGGTTATTATCATGATAATAAAGATAAAAACAACAACGACACTAATAATTTATATAATCATTTTATAAATTAATGGTATCGTTGTAATGACATAGCATCAGTGTCTGTGCGTGCGTGTGTTCATTTATAGGTATTATAATTTATATGTACAATTATATAGTAAGTAACAACAAGTTGGTATAATAATAAAGCTATAGATTAGGTTTGCATTCTTAGAATTTTACAGAGTTAGTTACTTAGAAAGTTTATATAGAATGATTCTATGTAAACTAAATTGACTAAGGGGTCAATTTAGTTTACATTTCATATACCCCCTCCCCCTCCAATTATAAAAAAAAGGTGGAGGAGTTACCCTATATACTCTAAAAGTATCCAGGATACCACCTCGACCTTTTTATTTCAATAAATTTTTATATTAAAAAAAAAAAAAGGCTGGCGGTGAAAAATATATAAAGTATTTATACGACCCCAAAGCCCTTTGCTAGAGGCAAAGGATCCCAATTTAAAATACATCAAATATATACAAATATAAAGTTAAATAAAATTAAATCTTATGGAATTGAAAAGATCGCTTGGCCAAGTGGATAATGTTATGGTCAGTGACAGCGGAGACCAGAGTTCGACCCCCAGTAAAGTCCTTATTCACTTTTTTTTTAATGAGAAGCATCAAATAAAAGTAAACTATACTTAAGGCACACTTTTTTTTGAAAATATTGAAAACAAAGCTTAAAACCCAGTGCCGAGTGTAGGCTACCTATACCCCGTAGTTAGAGGGGGTGGGGTGTTGCGGGGGGGGGGGGGCAGCAAATTTTAGGCCCTTTTACTATTTTATTTCAGCTAAACCTAGCGGTAAAATTTAGGAGATTTTGAGACCCTAATGACACGCTTTTTTTTGAGGGGAGGGGGTCTCCGACCTACTAGCCATTGCACTACTAAAACATGTTTTTTGTTGACTCAAAAAATACTATCGGGTGCCGTATAAAACGGGGGGTGGGAATAAACGGGTGGGTTGGAATTTTAGTCATAATCTAATTGAACGGTTGAACGGGGGAGGGGCGATTAATATACGGGGGGAGGGGAGAGGGAAATTTTTTGAAATTTAATAAACGGGGGGGGGGGGACATGTTCAATGCCCCCCGTTTCTTCGGCATGCAAATTATGCATGTTCATGTCAAATGCGCATTTGACTTGCGGTCAAAAGCGCATTTTCTAACAGCTGTTAGGGTAAGGTTAGGCCTTTTTATTATAATTTCAATAGGATTTAATATCCTGATATAAGTTTTATACTTTGCAAAGTATAAAACTTATTTTCAGCATATTAAATCCTATAAGTAAAACCAAAGCTTTGTTGAGAAATAAACTAAAAGCTCATTTTTAGCAAATCGAGATTTAATAGGTCGACAACATGTAAAACCTGTTTACACTGAAAGATTTTTTCGAATTTTTAAGGCCGATTTTCACTGAATTTTTTTTTTTTTTTTTACTTTTGAGGTATAAAATTTTTTTGTTGATTGAACAAGTAAAACTTAATAAACGGGGGGGAGGGGGGTCTTAATATGCTTAGAGTGGATGGGAAAAATATACAATAATTTATAAACGGGGGAGGGAGAGGGGGACGTTTATTAGGAAGTTGAGAGTAGGTTACCTATTTTTTGCACATGCATGCTCACATGCCACCCCTTATATACTGCCCCTGAGTATACCTAGGGCCAGTATATAAGGGGTGGCATGGGCGCTACCCCTTATATACTTTTTGATGTTCTAGATAGGACACTTTCACACATTGTACAAACTCCAAACTTAAGTATGTTTGTACGTATGCCAAATGAGGAGACCTTGTAAAAAATTGGGATGGCGGAGACCTGTTAACAAATAGCCCTGAAACGCTTGTCCTCCCCCCCCCTCCTGCTAAAAATTGTTATGGCGGTAGTCTGGGAACAAAAAAGCCCTCAAATACTTGCATTTCCTCCCCTGCCCAAACGTGAGGGCACTTATAAAGTAAAATTTGTAACTTAACAATTTAAAACTAAATTTTAATTTATTGACAGAATTTTAATTTCGTTGAAAAATATTGTAAATTACAAAAGTTATGGCGATGCAAAATGTACAGCCGCTCATTTATTTATTTTTTTTGGGGAGGGGGTCAAAAAATTGTACTACATTAGTGCCCTCACGTTTAGGCAGGGGAGGAAATGCAAGCATTTGAGGGCTTTTTTTTTCCCAGACTACCGCCATAACAATTTTTTGCAAGGCCTCTTTAAATGGTATAGGTAAACATACTTAAGTTTGGAGTTTGCGCAATGTGTGGAACTGGTTAATCTGGAACATCAAAAAATCTTGCGGGCGCCCATGCATGTGAGTGCATAGAGAGAAACTATACCTTTTACTCAGAATTTTAACTTTTCTATTGACTAGCTGGTTAATTGTGTAAAATTAGAAATTCGAAGTACGTACTTTTAAAATGAGCTCTTCCCCTCCCCCCTCCTTCCCTATACGCTTTCGTACACTTTTTGAAGACCTCCCCCTCCCCCCTATGAGCGTACGTACTTTATGGACGACCCCTAATTGTATCTTTTAAATTGTACTTTAATTTTTAACTATGAATGTTTTTAGTATCAATTAAATAATGCCTCGCCATTTTGACCAAGTCTGGAATGGATGTTTAAAAAATATATATGCAATGATGGAAAACAGCACTTGTTTGCACATACTGCAATGCAAGGTTTTTCACACAAAACTCCACTCGGGCAAAAAAATATTTAGAAACAGATTGTCCTAAATCACCTAAGTTTGTAAAAAGAAAATTTGCAGCTGATGTTTTAAAACAGAGTTTTTCGTCTAAAACTAAAAGTGGAATAATACTTGTCAAATCATTATCTGAACTTGACACGAATACAAGTAATAATGAAGGTGTGTCAGGTTTAATATTCAATTTGTGTGACAACAACCTTACCAGTTTTGTAAAAAAGGTAGGCACCAATTCCACAATGAGTGTGGTTGCTAATGAATTACATTCTGATCTCCAGTAGTGTTTTTTTTTCGAAATCTTCAGAAAAGGCCGTCAGTTTAACCTCTATTTTACCTCTCAATCAAAAACATATATTATATTTTTTTGATAAAATGTCAGCAAAAAAGTGCGATGAAATAAATATACAATATGCAAAAGCAATTTACGCAACAGCCAGCCCTTTAAGCATGTCAGATAATACATTTTTGATTAACTTCTTTAAAAAGATTCAACCTGGTTGGTCACCTCCCAAATGTTATGCTCTTAGTCATAACCTTTTAGACACAGTATATGACCAAGTAAATAAATTCAAACAAGAACTGATATCCCAGGCAGAAACATTTATCCTCATGATAGATGGTTGGTCTTGTGTAAACTTCTCACGTACAGATTATGCTTGCTACTCCAAATCCAATATACATAAAAAGTATTCATCCAAAAGAAAACTTCCACACCGGAAAATACCTATTTGATCAAATGGTTAAGATAATTGAAGATCAAAATGTTATATTGAACAAGAGAAAAATAAAAGTGCTTTTTGCACTGACAATTTATCAGCCATGGTAGCTATTTGGAAATTGACTGAAAATAAATATGATTGGATGTCAACAAATGGCTGTTTTTCTCACGGTTTAAATTTGTGACCTAGTAAAGAAGCTTGTGACCTAGTAAAGAAGAACAACTTAATTTTTAAAACACTAAAGCAAAATAAATAAACAGTTAAGTTTTTCAAAAACAAACATGTTTTAAAGAGTATCCTTGAGTGCTGTAGTCTACATTCTTTAAAAAAAAATTTGACTTTAATTCTTCCTGTTGTAACAAGATGGTCATCGCGTTTTTGTGACTCAT